CCCCCCCCCAATGCGAACATCCTTTTTTCTGGGGGCGGGCTCCCCGCCCCGGGCCAAGAAGAAAAAAAAGGGGAGGGGAGAGAAAAATGAGAGCAATCCGGGCGACCCGCGCAGGGGCAAAAAAGCAACGAAAACGCCCAACACCTTATCCGCTTGCCCCCCAAAACAGGGAAAGGAATTTTTGGTGATCGTTAGGCCGAAAAAAAGGGCTTTTTATTGGTAAGGCGCGGCGCCCCGTACGTTCCTCAACTCTCCCTTCCGCCTTTTTCTTTTTTGTTTTGTGTTTTTTTTTTTTTGCTTTTTAGGCCTTTCCTTCATTAAAGCGTTATCGGCCAATTCTGCCCGCTCAGTGCTCCTTCAGCCTCGCGCGCGCTGTGGCCAGAGCTTCTTCCACTACGGCCTTCATCCGGGGGTCCATCTGCGGCGCCGTCTCCGAAAGATACGTCCGTTCAAACGCCGCGATATGTTCGCCCGTTCTTGGCTCCTTAAGCTTTGCCAAAACCATGAGTTCACGAGCCACCAAAAGTGGTTTTTGTGTCACTGAGTAAAACTCAAGGGCCAATAGGTGTGCTTCCGTTGAGGCCGCATTGTGAACAAGGTATGGGGGTAGGTAGCGTTCCGCTTTTTTGAGTGGATTAGATATGTCCACATTGTCGAGATAGAATTCCTTACGCAACTGCATTAAGCGGGTGTTTTCATCAGCATCGTCGCATTGCTCAAGTTCCGGTCGAGGTTTATGCTTCGCTCGCACTGCCTCCTCACCCTCTCCGCACACCTTCATGTATGTTCGAACGATACGTGGACATAGTTTTAAAAAGAATTTGTTTCCCTCAAGGTCATCATCCCGAGCCAAAACATCAAACCAAGCCCGCATGGTACAACGCCGGAACACATAGTTATGGAAATCCAATAATTCAATGTGATTGCGCATGTGATGTTCTTCATACATAAGGTAATTTGCCAGCGCAGACATGTAGTCACCCTTTCGGTAAAAAGCGTCACCAACCTCCCGTTCATACCAGGCACACTGCGATTCCAGTGCCGTAAGATAAGTGTCACCAGGCACCGCGCTCGTCTTGTAGAACAGTTGCATTCGCTCCTCCGCTTCTTCGATGCGGTTTGCGCGAAGGAAATACTTTGCCGCCTTTCCGTTAAGGTACTTGTCCTGCAAATCAAGCTGGCGTGCCTTCTCAGCGCTCATTGCCGCTTCATCCAACCGCTGGCTACGCTCTTGGATCTTAGCCTTCATCAAGTACAACAACTCAACAGTTGGTGTGTGGTCAATGGCGAGATTAATGTAATCGAGAGCCCGATCAAACTCACGCAGACGACAGTAATGTGATGCCAAATACATCCAAATCCAGAGGATGTAGCACGGGTTACCAGCACCCCCGAAGCTTGAGAAGTCCTTCGCCTTGACCTCTTCCTCCCACCGCAGGAACACCTCACCGATTTCAGTAGCTCGTGCGGTATCCTGATAGAGTGACTTTAGTACACTGAAAAGTGATGGAATCATTTTAGTAATAAATCGGGCCGCATAGTCGCGAAGGCGTTCTTTAAATTGATCAATTGGCACATAGTCTAGTGCACGGCGCTTAGCGTAGTCGCACTTGGGATTGGCCTCAAGCACTTGAAGAAGGAGCTCCAGGTATTTTTCCTCATCTCGTTTCGGGCAACGATAGGTGTCCAGTGGAATCTTCCGGAGATGGGCAATGGCTGCAATGCAGTCAGCCTCTGCTATCCCTTTGGAAATGAGCTCCATGTAGCGTTTTTCAGCCTCTACTTTTTGCCCAAGAAGCGTGTATGCCTTGGCCCCCAAAAGGGTCTTTTCCGCCTCGTCAACAATCTCGGCGTCATGCTTTTTGAGCAATTCAAGAGCCCGTGCAGGGGCATTGCGGGCAAGTTCGAGCTCCACGCGGTAGAGGTGCACCTCGCTCTTCTCCACGTTGTTGTCCCCGGCGTCCATGATGTTCGTCATCACGTCCATCACGGCAGCCGCGAGTTCTGTGTGTCCCAACATACGGTGTCCACAAGACAAAGCAATCCAGTTGGCGCGAACACTGGCCTTCAACGTCACCATCTTTTGCCGCGTCTCCACAAAATGTTCCCAATCGCGCAGCTGAACACAGATGGACGATATGTCACGCAGGACGTTCACATTGGATGGATCGCTCTGATGTGCACACTTAAATGCTGTGAGGGCCTCTGTGTAGTTCTTTTCGGACCGATGACACATCCCAAGCGAGTGCCAGGCAATAGTAGACTTGGCATTCAGCGCGATAGCCTCCTTGATGGTGTTCAGTCCCTCTTCTTTACGATCCAGGTTATGCAGCGTCAGACCCTTCATCGCAATGGTATCAGCATGATCGGGAACGACCGCCAAAATGGAGTCGGCACTTCTCAACGCCTTCTTGTACTCGCGGGCATCAAACTCGCGGCCCAGCTTGTCAAACACCCTCTGCTGGGCCTGAGGAAGAGGTGCAGACATGACGAAACTTCTCTACGAAGAAGTAAAGAGGGTTCACTCGACGCCTGAGGTACCAACTAATAATAATAATAATAATAATTCAAATAGAAATATAAAAGGGTCGAATCTAGTAGTGACTCCTTCGGCTTCCCTTTTTTCCTTGTCGCTCTTCTTAAAGTATTGCCGTTTTGGTGCGGTTCCACACGCCTCTCGGTGGTTCCCTTTCTTGCTTTGGCGTGGCGAGAACGGGGAAGCAAAGAATATGTGCGGGCACCCGCTGCGCCCTCGCCGCAGAGCGCACCTATTGGAGAGGCACCCCGAAAAACAATCACCCATAGGTAAATAAATAAAAACAGCATAACGCTGTCAACATACTTTTGCTTAAACAAGAAACGTGCAGACGCGCGGGGGACAAAGCACCCCTCCCTCCCTCTCTCTGTCTCTCTCGCTCGCTTCCCCCAACTCTTTGTGATGGCAATCGCAACGAAAAACAAACACAATGGAGTGTGATGCCTCACATTTGCAACGTATGGGAGGCAAGCACAAATCCCCTCTTCTCATCCACCGCTCTGACACTGTACTCCGTATTCCCTTCCTGTGGCGCAGGAACGGACACAGTCATCACCCCAGCATCGAAGGTAAGCGTTGTCGACATGGATGCGCCCGATGACCCTTTATTTGTAGATTCCACCGGGGCCCCAGACGTTTTGTTCTGGAGCAGTGTAGCAGTGACCTGTAGCACAACATTTTCCTTCACTTCCTCTGTGATACCATCCACGCGGATGATTAATTCATTGGCTCCCCTCTCCACCACCACCATTGTGGCTGCCTGTTCCCTCGCTTCTGCTAAGCCCACCAAATAGTTCGTGTGACATGCATAAAGGATAGCTGCTGCCAGAAGCCTTGGGAATATCTGGATGGTAAAGAATATAATCAGAAAATTCCAGAAGTAACGCGCTCGCATGCGCTCCTTGTTGTGCCTCGACACAACATAGATAAAAACGAGGGTCATTACCATAAAAAGACCAACACCATCCCCCAAAAAGCGCATTTGTTGTCTCCGTCGCTCGTGATCTGCAAAATGAAAGCCACTGGTGTTATCACTAGTTTTCGCTGGATCTTCCTTGGCGTTCGCGATGACATGCTCGTACGCTTCCCTGATATTCTGAAAGGCAGCCGTGGCATTTGGTGGGGCGCTGGGGTTATCAGGGTGGTAGTGCTTGGCCAGAATGCGATAGTGCTCTTTGATCCTCTCAACGTCCCGTACCTCGTTCTGAAAGCCGAGGCGGTGATAATAGTTGCTGTCATTCCAGCACGCGCCATTGATCACTAACTGCTCCAACGGCGTCGTAAAGCAAAGTCGTCGAGGACCTAATAGGGCATTAAAGCTACCGGCACCTGGGCTCTTTACAAGGTGCTTCAAATAATTTGAATGGATGCGGAGCCCATCAAGGCCTCTTGGTAGCCTTTGCATAGCCGCACCCGTCTTTCAAATATACACACAGACACCCATACATAAATACATAAATGAGCAATAAGACAAACGAAGAAAAGAAAACAAAAAGAAGCAAGACTCGTTCTTTTGCAGCACTCAGCATCGTATTCAAGTATTCATGCCGTCCTCATTGTATCTTTCCGCGTACGCACGCGCGCTTTCACATCGAGGGAGAAGACATACAACAATACAACCAAAAACTAAACCAAACAAGAAAACAACAACAACAACTATATTAACGATACCATATCATTCTCAGAGTCCGTGTCTTCGCCGTATGCCAGAGAGCATAGCCGCGGCGTCTTCATAGTTTGCACCGTAAAGAGCCAAAGGGGGCACCTCCGGTGCAGACTGCGCCTCAGCACTTCTCGCTGACGATACAGCAGTACTTGCAGGAGTGATGTTCTCTCCACCACCTAGGTGGGTAATGGGCGTGGACAACGCGAGAGGGGCTGCTGCTGTTGCATGTTGCGGCTTCTCACCTCTATTAGTGCCATGCAGCGGTTCCATAACGACTGCTGTTGCTGGTGGTGGCGAAGATGCACCTCTGGAGACACCACTAGGGTGCTGCATTGGGGTATTTATTGCATCTCGCTCTTCGTTGGGTGCCCCGTTGTGGCAAGAGGCCTGTGAGGTCTCCATGCGTCCAAACAAACTAGTACGTGGTGCAGCAGCTGGCAGTCTCAGACGATCCTCTAGTCGTTGAATCGTCAACTGCTGCTCTCCAATCATCTGACTACTCTGTTCCTCCACTTCTAAGCGTTTGCGTCTCTCGTCGCGCAGCTGTGCCACCAAGGAACGCACAAAATTACGCACCGTGGGACTCATTGTACTCAGTGGATTGATACCATAAGTCATACCGTGCGACGCCTGGCTCCTGTCGTGATGCGCGTATGCACGCCGCACCTCGTCGTCGATACCCCCATCAACTTCCAATTTGTTCATGAGGTGAAAGTCGTGGTTGAGGCTTTGCTGCCTAAATGCAATAAGCGCATCCTTTTCCTTCTGTAACTTGATATTCATTCCCCGTAGCTCGTCAATCATACGGTCTTGCTCGCGCACCAACGCCGCGTACGCGTCAATGCGTTGCTGCATGTGCGACCATCGCTGTTTTTCCCCAACCGCATTCTGTGACAGTCGCACAACAACATTCTGCAACTGACTCAAGAGTTCCACCTGCGGCTCGCCCACTGGGGGCGTGCTGGCTGCCAGTGCTACCGCCACTGGGGTTGGTGCAAGCGCGGAATAAGAGGGGCGTTCGGGCACCGCGTACGTTGTGACGCTCGCCCGCTCGTGCGGTCGGCGCGTGTCACTGCTGTTCGTGGCGGCTGTGCGCCCCTCCGTCCGCACGGAGCTGTTCCACGGTGGGGCATCGGGCGTACTTGTGCGCTGCGCCAAACGCGACGCCGCTGGTGACTTCGGGCGCCGCTGCGACGATGTGCGCATGGCGGCGTCACGCCTTCTCCCCTCAGGTGTCGGCTACTTATTCCCTATTCTTTGGCCCCCGCCACCGGAAGCACACAACCAATGGGCGACGTAAGTGCGAAGTCCGATAAATGTGTGAGGCTGCGCTTTCTCCACGGAATCCAAGGAAAAGGCACAATGAAGGCGACAAGACGAAAACACATGAATAGTCGTCGTCAAATCAAAAAAAAAAAAAAGCGCCACAACGAAAGGAAAACACCACTTCCAGAATACGGACGCACCAAACCGTCTTTACTCTCTATTGTTTCTTAGCCATCGTCAAAAAAAGGGATCAATAATACTTTTCGCTCTATACTAGGGGTAACTACACAGCACACGGATAATAGTATTAATTTGGTGGAGTCAATATGATAGGCACCCATTCAACCTCGACATTGATACACCAGTTATATATATATATATATATATAT